ACAGGCTCCAGCCCCAAATTTCTGGGAATTGGCAACCTTGTGCATTCGCAGACTTTGTGGTCTCCTCCGGCTCGTCTTAATCGCAGCAGCTCTGTAAAGCCCGGGCCTCGCTTGTCATGGAACGTTGTCTAGCCCAACTCAGGCTCTGCTGTATTAGGGGTCAACTGCTTTCTCCGAAGCGCTCCTTCCACTGTTTTTGTCTACATGCTGTTTATCTTCTTTGCTAGGAAGGGCGGGGGAGTGGATGTGTGTGTGGGAATGTCTGCTTGTGCTCAGGGCTTTTTTTGTAGAAAAAGCCCAGCAGGAACTCATTAGCATAATAGGCCACACCTAACAGCTGAAACTCATTAGCATATTAGGCTGCACCCCCATGTTACCAGAAGTGTGGTCATCCAGCCACACCCACCTTTTGCTTCTTATTCTGTTTACCTTGTTTGTTGTCAAACCCCAGGGCCTTTTTTTGTAGCAGGAACTCCTTTGCATGTTAGGCCACACACCCCTAATGTAGCCAATCCTAATGAGTTCCTGCTGGGCGTGGCCAACTCGGGAGCCAGCCGGAACTCCATTCCTGTGCGTTCCTGCCCCAAAATAGCCCTGCTTGTGCTTAAATAACCCCAGCTTGGAGCAGTCTGCATCCACCACGACCTTGTATGCAGGGAATGTCTAGAGAATATAACCATTACTTTCCAGTGCTGGGGGCAGCCACCGGAGCAGGTTTGGATCTTTGGCGGGCTGAGTGGAATTTTTTTTAACTTTTATTATAGTTTTAAGTTGTTACAATAAAAATATGCTTGCATTTTATCATCGTGCAGAAAGTCATGTATTACAGAAAATTTGAATCCATTTATATAGTGTTTTGAATTATTACCAGTGTTTTGAATTATTATCTTCATCTTTCCCTTGGAGTACAATATTTAATCTGTCGGGTTTCAGCCATATCTAGTAATTTCTGAATTAGTTCTTCCTTTGATGGAATTCTATCCAGTTTCCAGTACTTTGCCAGCAGAATTCTTGAATTATGTTTTGGATTCCTAGCCAATACTTATGGATTTTACCACATGTCCACCACATATGGTAATACATCCCCACATTTTTCTTACATTTCCAACAATTACTCGGTAATTTAGGGTAATATTTGGCTAGTCTATCAGGGGACCAGTGCCATATATGAAACATTTTAAAAAATTTCTTTATATGCCGTAGTCCTTGTAAGTTTTACCATTTTCCAGATTTTACCACAACTGTCTAGATCTATGACATGTCCAATATCTCGTGCCCAGGTTACCATTGATGTTTTGACTATTTCATCTTGCATATATTCATCTATCAGTAAAGTATACAATTTTTGATCAGTTTTTCATGTGTACAGATGAATATTCTCCCTAAGTGAGAATATTGATTGGGTGGCTTTGCATATGGGGAATGTCTTGTTTGTAGTATAGGGTCGGTCCTGGCACCTGGGTGTCAGTCCCGACACAGAACCTGTCTATGCTTGGAATCTCTCTACCTCTCAATAAACAGATCTTGCTACTGCAAAAGTGTTGTGGGAGTGACTGCATCCAGGACTTGATAAGCACTTGGGTGGGCATATCTCCTGATTCACATCTAGAGTTGTTCAAGGGCTGGTCTTAGGCTGGTTCCCCAAAGAGGCTGGACCCTGGAAAACGGCCCTTCTGTCAGGGTGCGTTCAAATACGGGGCTAGGAGAAACTTGTGATTGTGTTGCCATGCAAGCCTATCGTTGTGTTTTTATGGAATATGAACTGTGCAAAGGGACTGTACAACATGGAGACCTGAGAATACCTGTTGAGACTGCACACCTGAGAAAGGGACGCCTTCCTTTAGCGTTGCCGCCACAGTGTTAGTCCAGAGACATCAGAGACATCTCACCTGCTGTGAGATGAAGCAGTTCCATAAGCCTGTACAAAGCCTCAGACGCCATGCCATGGAAAATCATGAGGACAGAGAACTCCAGACGCCATTAGGAGCTTCTTCCAGCACATGGAGGCAACCTCTCTCTCCCCCCCTCTTCCAGCTACCTACAAATCTAATCAAGAGACTCTATTCATAGTTGAATAGCAACTAACTGCTCAACCATCAGCAAGCAGGCTAGGGCCATCAAGAGACAATAGCCCTAGCCTGATGATTCAATCATCCTTTATCCAGGTGCCAGTCCTCAGTCTAAGTTTCTAGCTCTCAATATTGACCACTCCTGAGCCCCCCTCCCCTCTTCCAGCCAGCCAATAGTATGTTTTATGGGATGGACTAACAGGAGGTGTCACAGGAGGATGTGGCCAGCCTTGCCAGCCCCCCCCCCACACCACGCTATAAAAGATGCTGCCCGACCACATGGTCTGTCTCTTACCCTCTCCGCGACCCCTATTGAAGCTTTAACCCTCTTATGTCCAGCTTGCTATCCACATACCTTACCTCTAGTCTGCAGCTAGAGTCCACGTGGTTCTGCTGGTTCAGAGCACGTGTTCACCATTTTCTATTTCTAAACCCCTCCATTCTTCCATTGGAACGGCCCAATTGGTGAAGACAGGTAAATATTGCCCAACCAACGAATATCCTGCTAAAGCAACTGTGTTAAGGATCTACCTTTATTTCCTAGCATATGTATAAATGTGTGTGTGGTTGTGTATTGTTTGAATGATATATATCTCCCAGTAAAAAGACATTTTTAGGAGCTGCGGTGGCTCAAGTGGTTAAGACGCTGAACTGCAGGCTGTGGAAGGTCAGTAGTTCAGCAGTTTGAGACCCGAGTTGCAGCATGATGGAGTGAGCTCCCATCTCTAGTTCCAGCTCCTGCCAACCTAGCAGTTCGAAAGCAAGAAATTGCAAGTAGATAAATAGGTACCACTTCGGTGGGAAGGTAACAGCGTTCCGTGCGCCTTGGTGTTTAGTCATGCCGGCCACATGACCACGGAAACGTCTTCGGACAGTGCTGGCTCTTCGGCTTTGAAACGGAGATGAGCACCGCAAGCCTAGAGTCAGATTCGACTGGCTTTCGAGCAATTTGAGAGCTATTATTGCTTTAAATGCTGTCTGAAATTGGACTCTGGGTGACATTGGTGGTTTAAGTTGCAATGTGAACCTTAAGGGAGTTATGGGATGGTTGTGAATGGTTGTGTGAGTGTATATGAGTATGATTGTAGATCACTGAAATAATTACATTTTTAATTTCGTTGTACTATGTACAATGACAATATAGTATATTGTTATTGTTATTATTATTATACCTTTACCTTTTAAAAAACACATTATATTTAATTGAATACAGTCTCCGAGTCTCTTCTAATACATACAGCAAAGGTGGGACTTCTGTATACATTGGTGAGAACCCTAATTTGCCTATTGCCAATTAATACTCATAACGAGTTGATAATTCAAGGCAATTTGGCTAACAATTGGCCCTTTATTAGACTTCTTTCTTACCCTTGTGATTCTTGAAATCTGTGATTCTTCTCTGGATGAAAACTACGTTCCCTCCGCCCTGCTTCTTCAAGGGGAAAGAAGCTCCAAGGGATCCTGTTTATTCCGGTTGGTTCCCCTTGGAAGAAGAAGAAGAAAGCCCTGGAGGCTTCCGGTGCCTGGGTACTCTTAGCTTTCATGACAAATATTCTGACTGAGCTGAGCAAGGGCGGAAGCCAGAGGAATTCCCCCAGAGTAGCAGGCCCACGACCCCACGTCAGGTGCCCAGAGGGAGCGTTTCTGCCCCTCCGCATCCTTGAGCCAAATCTCAGCCTGTTTTCCTTTCTCTCCCGATCTCAGCTGCTTGTTCTTCACACAGACACACCCCTGCCCCTTCCCCTTGGCTGGGTGTTTGGACTGAGATCTTGCCTCACACTTCTGGCCTGTGGAAGAGATGCCTACAATGGTCAAAGGGTCACCAGTCCCTCTTGTCCTTTGGGGGTCTCCCTGAAGAATTAGCCCCAAGGACAGACTGAGCCAATGTAAGGAGAGGCTAAGCTTGTTGACATCCTTAAAGAGCCAAACAGAGACCCTTAACTATCCCAAAGAACCATGGAGGTATAAAATCTCAAATAGCTTGCGTTGTAATATTAAAAATAATGATATTGAACCTGGTCTACAAACCACAAGAAGCTCTTTCGTTCTGATCCACCAGGGCAATTCTCATGTGTCTCCTGAGCATATGAAGGTTTGTGATGTTCAGTGGTGTGTCTCAGTTCTCTTTGATTTCCTGTGTGACTGCATGTGTCTCTCCTTCACTCTAGAGAAAAGCCAAGTGACTGAAGGCATCTTTACACAGTCAGAGGTGACCCAAGAGAAGGGGAAGGAGATGGAAGAGCAGAACCCAGAAAGACCTCGAAATGGCAACACAAGTAGGAAAGACCCCTATTCCCAAGCTGGGAGTGGTGCTGAATTCTGGGAAAGCCCAGGGCCAGATAACCGTGATCAGCTCACTGCAGTCTCAGATGTACATTGCCGACGCTTCCGGCAGTTCCACTACCATGAGGCCTATGAGCCCCGAGAGGTTTGCAGCCAGCTCCATGGACTTTGCCGCCACTGGCTGAAGCCGGAAAAGAACACCAAGAAGCAGATCCTGGACCTGGTGATCCTGGAGCAGTTCCTGACTCTCCTGCCCCAGGAAATGCAGGGCTGGGTCAGAGGATGCGGGCCGGAGACCAGTTCCCAGGCGGTGGCCCTGGCCGAAGGCTTCCTCCTGAGTCAGGCCGAGGAGAAGAGGCAGGCAGGACAGGTGAGGGGGATTCCCTCCAGGTATGTCCAGTTCAAGCAAGGATATCTGACGTTATCCTAAAGGTTCCTGGCCAGACATCTCTCCAAGTGCTAATCATTCAAGTGGGAGACTTAACAATCTCCTTCAGTGGCCTCTTCTGCTGGAGAATTTCTTAACCCTCCAGGGAACTCACCAGGTCTGCTGATGGACGGGTGTAGAGTCTGGGAGTGGGGGCAAGATCCATTCCTTGATCTCTTTTCCATTCCATTGCTTACCTGTCTCCCTACCTGCTGTTTCAGATGTGGGCACCATCCGTGAAGAAAGAAACTACATTCCCTGAGGTGGAAGAAGCTTTCTCGGAGCAAGAGCAGAGTTTGCAGGCCATGGAGCGTGCCCAGGACGCCCTCTCCTGTGGTAAGGACTTGTCATGCCTGGATACGATTGGGGCACCTAGTGAATTTTATGGCTAGAGCGTTCAGTTCAGGAAAAGAATTGAATACCTCTTCACAGAATGCAGACTTAATTTGCAGCACTCAGTGTCTAACTGTGATGTCTCTAAAAGGAGATTAGACAAATCCATGGAGGGCAATTCCTCCCATTTATTAACATAATCACATCCCACCTTCCTTCCAGAAGAGGAACTCAAGGTGGCTCAAAAGAGAAAAGGTAGACAAACCTGGGCAGAGCTATTCAGCCTGGTGACTAAAGGGCGCCTCCACCTTCTGGGGCAGCAGAGCTCTGAAAACCAGTTCCTGGTAAACTTTGGCTTCTCTGCCCATCCTTAAAATGGTATCTTTAATACCTTCCTCCCAGATAGATTAGTGTCCAAATTGGAGGGCCTTGGACTCTCCAGCTCCATATGTTTCTGGATTTTGAACTTTTTGACAGCCCGCCCCCAAGAGGGTCAGAGTAGGGTCCTATATGTCCACAGCCCTTACCCTTAATACAGGTTCTCCACAAGGCTGTGTGTTGAGCCCCTTGCTCTATACCCTCCACACACAGGCTTGTACCCCCACTCACCCCAGTAACACCATCATCAAGTTTGCTGATGACACCACTGTGGTGGGGCTCATCTCTGGGAATGATGAGTCTGCTTATCGGGACGAGGTGGAACGG